ATACTTTTCAATTTTAACACCAAACCAATTTCTTAGCCGTCTTTTCTTAACCCCAATATTTCCATGTAAAGAGCCTTGTTTAGCGCTGTTTTGCATTGCGCAAAACTTTGAAGAAACATATATACATTTTTTTATTTATAATCACGAATATATTTTTTCTTAGCTTATGCAATTATAAATGAATTGAAATTTTTGGCAAATTACAGTTTTCATTTGTTTTCAGTGCCAAACAATGCCTCAAATATTTTCAATGTAAAATAATGATAAGCTGTTTCTTGTAATTTTTTCCCTTTATTTCTACAATCTATCTATATTTCTATAATCATACACTTCCCAACAAAATCCCTTAACAAACTTCAAAAAGATTTATCAAAATCCGAATAATCGTTTAGGAGGAGTATCCTATCATATTCATTACAGATATGACATGTGTATTAAATATTAAAAGAATATAATATTAATTTATATGTTATGATTACTTACCGAAGGGTAAGATTGTAGTACTGGAACTTTAAGATTGTATGTAACTTGGTCACCTTTCTTCAAAGGGCATTTGGCACCATCGTTCAAATGATCGCAAGCATTGTTTAGATGAGGAGGTAGGGGATATGGAACCGTCAAACCGCCGACTTTGGCTTTTACCTGTGCAAGAGTTTGAGTTATAAATAATATGAAAATAAAATTTTTCTCCTGTAAACTGTAAATTGTTTTATTTTTGATAATATCTTACTCACATATGGTGCAAGAGTAGCAGTATCGCTCGGAAGAGTCAATTTAACTTCGGTCAAGGATTCCGTACCGCGTTTCAGAGAGCAAGGCAATCTGTCGCAACCGGCAACTTCCACGCTGTCCGGGAGCGGCGTATTCCGATCACCTAAAATAGTAATGAATTTCATTAATAACAGGTTAATTTAAATCTTCAGCATAATTTTCAAGAATTTTTGTATAACAGATGTTGTTGATTTTTATATAATATAGTTTAGCTGTTATGGCGACTGTTACTACCGATTTCTGACACAATCGTACCCAGGGAGACTTGTCTTACTCATCTATGGTATAAATATGTACATCATTATAATTGAAGGAAGAAGTTGTTGAAATGTTATTCGTTTATCAAGTCATGTAATGGATTATATTTTCAAGGAAGTAAGGGTTTCACATGGTTTTGAAATAATGCTAAAATTTATGGCACATGAGTAATAATTATTTAATTAATTGGTTAAGCGTTTAATTCTTTTTAATTCTTTATTCAACGCTATTGATTTCAATCTTTTAAGGCTACATGATATATCATTCAGTATGTGATATGAAGTTTGAAAAGTATCATAAATTACAGTTTAACATAAAAACACCAAAAACAGCAAACAAGTTTAAGTCATATTTTGAGCAAAATATTTATAGCGCTAATTGCATAGGTATTCATCCCTTATTACACATTGTGTTGCTTATACTACCCCCTGTGCTAAACAAAAATGAAATTAGTAAAATAAATGTGATAATCTGTTCTGTTAGAAACAGACATTATATCAATTTTTATCATTATATTATATCAACTTTTGAAATGCGAAAAAAGTAAACCTGCTCTTTTAGATCACTTTTCACGAAAAAAAACCCGATCGATGGATCGTTGGAGAATAACCCGTGGTTTATAAAATCAAAGTACCAAAACAAGATAAATTCAGAAATTAGAAACTGGAAATAGAAGTTAAAATTCTAAAGTGCAAGGATATCGAATGCACCAGTTACGTTCAGCGCCTCGCTATTAACAACGTTCTCACGCAACATATGCGTGCGCAATGGTGAATATGTTTACAGATTTAACACTTGTCATGTTGAAGTTTGATGAATATTTTTGCTTTGTGATACACAATAAAAAACTATAACTCTTTAAGATCACTTTTCACGAAAGAAAAACCGATCGTTGGATCGTTGGAGAATAAACCGTCGTTATAAAATAAAACCATTACTGGACTTTTTAGCAGGAAATTGACAAGGCTGGATTAAGGTATCAAAACAAGATAAATTTAGAAATTAGAAACTAAAAATAGAAGTTAAAACTCTAAAGTGCCAGGACATCGAATGCACCTGTTATGCTCAGCGTCTAGCTATTGACAACGGTCTCACGCACCATATGCGTGCATAGTAGCGAATATGTTAAAAGATTCAACAATTCTCATGTTGAAGTTTGATGAATATTTTGCTATGTAGTGTACAATAAAAAATATGTTTATGAATTAATTATGAAGCTGTTTACGCTCTATTTAGATAATAGCCCAACGTTTATCCTATCGATATTTGATAAATTATTTTATTATGGAAATTTCTCTGATATTAATCATATATTATTTTATTAGATGCAGAAATTACCAAGAAGAGTTATTTTCAATCTTTATTTCCAAGTGCTACTGCTCGGTATCGGGTTGACCGTAATAAGCAGTAGCGATTAGAATTTTTTTTTTCTCCTTGAATAAATCAATTAGAATTTTTTTCATAATTGAAATAATATATTTTTCCATTAATATTTGCAAAATTATTATATAACTTTACTCAAATGAGTTTTTAATATTAATTTCAAACTTTCATTTTTTTGTAAATAACATAATTTTGCTCAAAGATTTAGTTTAACGCTATTGATTTAACTAATTAATTGATGATTTGTAGTGCTTTTTTTATTTTGTTATGACCAAAATGTTGCAAGAAATTTATTTCGTTGACACTCTATTTGTTACATATGTATTGCACAAAATATTTATTAAATTAACAAATTAATCAAGATCGCTAATATAATATTATTATTGTAATATTATATTATTATAATTTTGAATTAATAAAAATTTTCGTTTGTGTTATTATCTTTTCAAGTTTATGACAAGTTAATTAATTTCATTGTAACAACTCCATAAATATAATTTTTTTATTATGTTATATTATGATTTATTATACATGGATTTAGATTTGCATTCTTTATGTAACCAAAGATGAATTACATTTTATATTAACACTTAACATGCAAACACCACACATTTATTCAAAGATAATTTGCAACAATCTTGATTAATTTGTTAATGTAATAAATATTTTGTGCAGTACATATGTTACAAACCTAGTGTCAACGAAATTAAATTACTTGCAACATTTCACTCATAACAAAAGAAATAAAAATTTCACTACAAATCATTAATTAATTAAATCAATAGCGTTAAATGCAGAAGTAAAAAGAAAAAAATAAACTCTAAACCAATTAATCAAATAATTATTACTCATTTGCCAAGAATTTTAACAATATTTCAACAAGTACGTAACTATTTATAATAGGAATAAATATTTTTAAATTTTCGTGATTTTTTGTCAAATGCCCTTCTCTCCCTAAAAACCTCACGTGATTAATGGACGCCCCCTTAATTCTAGAAAGGCCTCAGCGCGAAATTGTTGGGATGTAGATACAGTTCATTACAATTTTTATTATAATTTTAAAATTTATTTGTACCATGATTATTAAGATTATAATTCCAATTAATATCATAAATTACAAATAATTATCGTTCAAAATGCGCTATATGATCTACTTTTAATTCCAGATAAATCTTATTAGAAAATGTAATTTATTCATTGGCAATAATATATAGGTAAAAACTCGAAAGAAGATTGTACACATCTGACATAAAACATTTTTTTACATTTTTTTGTAATTTATTAACTATATCGCATCCGCATTTGATACTTGTATATGCGTCAGAAATGCGTCAATATTATCATGAATATTAATACAAATGCTTTTTTATTGAAAATTATATTGTACTAGAATGAATAATTTTTAAAGTTTGACTTTTTTTTGACGTTGCATTTTACAAATATTTTCATTATGTAGAATCTACGTACATTGTAGATGATTGATATTTCAATGTAAATATTAATTCTCTATAATTATTGAATTCTTGTTAAAAGTGTCAATCTTAGAAATCATTCAGTTTTAGAATATGTTATACAGAGCAATCAGAACTATTTTCTTACAGAGCTGTAGGGATGTGTTTTCTATTATATTTATCAGAAGGCAACGCAATGTTTGTCCTTTCTTCTAGAGGTGAAAGTTATACTTTCTTTCTAAAGTGAGAATTGATATATTGAAACAATGTTATAAAATTTGGAAACATTTTGGGTCTATTGCTACTGCTTGATATCAATTAGTACGTAGCGCAAGTTTTGAATTCATAATCCTGTGATTGCAAGGCTAAAGCATTTACATCTGTGATACAAACGCCACTAGATTTAGAATCCAATAATTGCAATAAATAATTTTATTTCATAATTTATCACAACTAATGATTTTCCTGTATTTACTCGAGGATAATAGACAAAGTTAACAAAATTTGAACTAGGTGTTAATGGCTTTCAGGCAAGTTGTAGTAGTATTCCGATATATGTAAATAAATTAATAATCAATTTTTATCTTTTAAAATTGAAACCAAATTTTAAATTTTGACACTTGCCCTCTATTTTTAATATTGACGAACTTTTTTAATGTAATCTCTATTTGAAGGCCTTAATTTTTTTAAATCTGTACAGTCGTTTTGGAAAAATGTCGTTCAAAATGACTTATCGAGAAGAAATAAAATAAGCAATGTGATTTTCTGACAAATGCTTAAACTTGTTTTTTTCGAAGTTAATAACAATTACTGATATGAAACTATACTACTTACATTTTGCAACTTTTGTTGCTTGAACTGCCAAAGGCACAATAATAGCTAAAACAACGAAAACACGCATTTTGATAATTAGAAACACAATGAATCAATTAATGCTTAATTCACTAAATCAAACAGGACAGTACGATTTTCTGGTGTCTTTGGCAGAACTTATATAGTTCTAAAATATTAGAAAACCTGTAAATCAAATGACGTGCAAGATTTTTTCAAGTCAGTGATGACAATTAGTTCATTGTTTTCAATGCAATTTACGCCAGGTGTTCCATTCAAATGTAAGTGCATTTATCATTATTATTATTATCAATAAAAATTATAAGTGGATTAATTGTATGTTATCATAAATGATTAATATGCAGAACATTTTTTACGTAATTTTAATATAACACTTTGATACCGTGGGTTCAAAGAACCGAAGGTTTACCTGCGTCAAAACATGTGATGGGTTTTAATTTAGATATACCTAATTAATTTCACGTGGGGTAAGTTATAGTAATGGGCCAAAAAATCGAAAATAAAAATTTTTGCATATCTTTACGTTTCAGAAGTTTGGCATATCTCAGAAAAAATGGATGTGTGTGTGTGTATGTATGTATGGATACAAATTTCCAGTCACGTTTTCAGGCGCACGGATCAATCGATTTGAATGGTTTAAAAAACATTCGATTCCTATTGATAGGGAAATGAGCTGATTAGTTTTTGGCAAAGGCAGGTCCAGCTGTTACGGAGATAAAGAGCAAAGAGTGCAGAAAATAGATATCGAGTTTTTGAGAGAACGGAGCATCCGATTTGAATAATATAAAAAAAACATTCAATTAGTAATGATTAGGAGAAGTGTTTGTTAGTTTTTGGCAGAGGCAGGTCCAGCCATTTTGAAGATGCGGAGCTAAATGTGTAAAAAATGGTAGTTTTTGAAAGAACTAAGCGTCAGATTTAAATGATTCAAAGAACTTTCTGCTTGTCTTAACAAAATAATTGATTTTGGAAAAAAAAATTGTTTCAACTTGTATTTTTTCAAAAAAAAAAAATTTTGTATTTCGAAAATAATTCAGATTTTATTTTTAATTCTGACTATAGTTCTAATATATTTTATCAACGTTGCAATTCAGTTTATATAATTCTTATAAATATTAGACAATGTTACAATATTAATAATCTATTTCAAAGCATTCAGTATTTCTCGAACATTTTGTTACGGTACGGGAAGTTTCAGCAATTTGCCTTAAGGCACCATGCCATACACCCCACTAGTTTTTATTTATATCAACCTTCATACTACACATACATCTTTTTTGTAGTACAATAAGTGAGATTCTGATGTCCATACTAATAGAATACGTTTATATTCCTTATTCATATATCAATCAATATTATGATATTTTTTCTTATCCAAAATAAATCAATGTCCAATTTTTTCTAAAATTTTAGTGGAATAGTACAAATAATGATGACATTTTTCAAAAGATATTTTTATAAAAGAATAATATGTAATATAACGAATAAACTTGTATAACTTGTAAAATCGCTTTTTTCTACTTAATTTCTCTTTTAAATTATTGTAAAGATTCAGTTACTACACATTTTGCAGGGTGAAGATTCAGTTGTTTCTTTACACCCCACCCATATGTAAGCTATTATATAGGTTATATAAAAACATCTGTTGAATCAAGTTTCAAAATAACAAGAAATTTTGTAAAACAATTAAAAAACATACACTAGTAAATTTTATGGAGAACTCGTAAATTAATCAGTAGAGCCCACAATCAAAAAAGCTAAAGGCAAAAGAAATACTTTTGTAATAGATTTTCAAACATGGCTGGTTACACATTTTTTGCCCTGTGCTTTTAAATATTTTTGCTAAAAAATCCTTACTTTATTTGTTTTTGAGATGTATCATTTTACTTTTACCGCGGAGTTTTAAGGCCCACTCCACCCTATATTATAATATTAACTTATTTTAAATTGGCTAGCTACCGTACTTGTAATGACTAAAATCTTTGCTTTTAGTATTTTTCAAATATAGCTTTTTTATCTTTCTGTGTATACAAAAATTGCTTTACATGTATGATTCATAATTAACTTAAATTTCTCAAACTTTTATAAAAAATTATCTTTAGAGTGCCTCATCCAATTAATTATTGAACACCTGGGATGAATTTGTTTATTATTGAACACCTGGCCTAAGTTTTAAAAAACAATAGATAAATATTATCAGAAACACATGTAAAGAAATATGCAAGCACGTGATAATAGATAGTTGCCTAATGATAAGACGGAAAATTGAGATAAATTTAATAAAGTTGCTATATAAACCTTGTCAAAAATCTATAGAAGGTCATAGTCATTTTAGTGATCCAGTAAATCATTTCTTCATTTTGATAAATCAGTATTAACTTTCAAAATGCGTGCCTTGATTGTTTTGGCTATCATTGTGCCTTTTGCTGTACAAGCTACCACCATCGCAAAATGTAAGTAGAAATATTATTATCATAGGCTTTATTGAGTACTAAAAATCGATTCTTATAAAAAATATGTTACTACATAAAAGTTCTATCATTAAAAAAATAGCACCATTATTATTCATCATTATTGCTTTTGTTTTGTCGCCAAGAAATTTTTGAATCTCAAACTGGAGCTGATAAATTAATTAGTAATAAGTTTGACCTAGTCAATCTGTAACAAAAAATGAAACTAATATTATACCAGAAAAACTTGAAATTGGGTTTGTCGGGGCACAAAGGTCCAAATTGACTTTGAGCAATCATATTGTAAAATTATAACGTTATAACGGTAGTCCTTTTTCCTGCTGAAAAAGTTAAAATGGGACAACTTGTTTTAATTTTTTATTTTTAAATTACTGCAGCGTTTGTTCTGAATGTAAATCACAAATTAAATTATTTTTAGTAGTTTTAACGTGTGTTCTTGATTTGGAATTACTGGTGTAATAAATATGCATTAAGATAAATAAACGTATTTCTTCAATACGAGATTTTAGTGATAAATAAAAATATTATGGTAAACATTTCTAACTTTTCGATCGCCGTATTATTTGTTTCATATGAATGAAAATAAATTAAAACCAATATCATGAAAATATCAATATCATCCAATAAAATATCACGAATAGTAACAATATGCAAAACAAAAATAATAATAAATCTTTAAAATTCTAGTTTTTTAATTTATAAATTCGTACTATTTACATAATTACAAGTATAATTAGTTAATATTGGTACAATGATAAAACATTAAAAAATATAAATATGAGTAATTGATTGTTTAATTTTAATATAATTGAGTATAATCAATTTACATTATCAAAGAACACTATTCAATAAATTTATATAAAACAATATTAATTAATCTTACTACAAAGTATACTGATTTTTCTTTCATTTGATAGAAACTTCCAAAATTAATTTTATTTTTATGTAAATTTTTGTGCATTTATAAACTAAATTTGGCGCCCATTCGCGTTTTAATTTTTGCATAATGTTTAAATTAGTTGATGTTAGCAAATTCTTTTACGTCATTGCTTCGTTATTTGAATATATATTCAATTTTATATAAAATTGTTTCCATAGTTGAATTAAAATTTGTCGTTTAATTAATAACATTTAGTACCTTATGGCTAACAATTTAACAATTTGAATTTCAATTTTGAAGAATTTCTAAGAATTTTGTTTGTTATAGTAATAAAAATAATATTTAGTATAAAATTGCAAAAACTGATAATGACTTTATCTATATATTAACTAATAAATTTTTTATTGTAGATTTTATCATATTCGCGATAAAAAAAATTTTATATCTGGATTCAATTATAAAAATTTATCTGAATACAAATTATAAAGAACTTTATATCTGATTAAAACCTAATTTTATTGATACGACTCGATTCGTTTTGGTAATAGCTTAATTTCCTTGATTAATTGTGTATTAATGTAATTAACTTGTCATTGTCAATCATTCTTAAACTTAAAATGAGATAGATATTAATTAAATTAAAACTATATAACTCTCCGTCGGTCGGATATTTATTTACCTTCGAACGGTCGGAGTGGTCTGGCTGGACCACACATTTTTTCATCCTGATTTTTTCATTGATCGACAGCTAATAAAATTTTAGGAAAAGACCAGAAATTTCAAGTCGATAGGATTACCAAAAAAAATTTTTTTTAATTGATGTCGAAAAAAGTCTTGCCAGACCACTCCGACCGACGGTTTCTAGGTTAGGTTTTCTATTCGGAGGGTTAATGGTGTTTTACTAAATTGTTGAAGAAAATATGAATCAATGGTATAATACATTACCAAATACTGATGCAGAAATGCACCTTTTTATTCTGTATGTGCACAGATAGGATATTGTTTCTGGTTTGTCATAAATATGTAAAACCAGAAAGACAAAATGCTATGATGTCTTCAAAATTTCTTAAAACTATTTCGTGGGTAATATTTTTTTTATTAATGGTATTGGTCAACCATCAAGTCAAAAATTAAGATATATGTATCAATAATTATTACCTCTTGCAGGTGATAATGGAGCTCCTCTGCCAACCAGTGTTGATGTAGAAGGATGTGACAAATTACCTTGTCCATTAGTTCGTGGTAGCACTTCTTTGACTGATGTTAAATTTACTGTCCCTGCCGATTCTGCTACTCTGAAACCAGAAGTAAGAATAAAAATTAAAAAGTTCATAATCGTATTAAAAACCTAAATAAAAATTCCCAATTATTGGGCTATTGCTATTTCAATATGTATGAGAGAGGTGGTATTTGAATATTTTGGTAATATTTATTTATTTTGCAATTTATTTATATAACGCATTCGAAAGTCATTAAATTTATGAAAAATCACAAATTGCATGAATAAATCTTTTCTTAGAAAAATATATAATGTACTTTAAAAAGTAAAACTTAAAGTATGTAATAGAAATATCTTATAATCATCGGAGCAAAACCGTAATATGTATTTTAAAATTATATAAGTATTTCCTATAAGTGCATTTAACTTGAAATATGAGCTTGGCAGTGACTAAGTGGGTATGGGATTTGAATCAGAGGTCTGAGATATGATACCCATCTCAGACTGCCTCATATTAAGCAGTAGTAACATCGTTTT